AAATGTCCAATGGCAAGGTCAACATTCGATAAAGCAGTTTTGAACAGGTCTTTTACTTTTGTCTTATTCGAATCGGCTCCGTGATCATGTGTTGTGGCATCTGGTTCTTCAAAGTACAGCGCAACAAATGTGACATTTTTGCATTTCTCAAGCCACTTGACAGCCGTGTCAACTCTTTTATTGAAGTTCAATGATTTTTTGCTATCCTTTACGTAGGGAGGTGAGCCTGAATTTGATAAGGCACAGAATGTTAACAAGATTCGTCATAATATGCTAGATGATTCACTATGACGGTTATTATGACTCAGAACTAAGGCAAAATTACGATATTACAGTTAAAATTAATCAAGCTGATTTAGCTTATATGTTATGTCAGCTTGCATTACTGCGTTCCTCATTACCGCTCACCTAGCTACTTGAGAGAGTTTTAAAAAAGAGTTCAATATTTTTCTCCGATAGCCAGACTTATTTCAAATTTATTCAAACCAATGACTGATAGCAACTAGTGGTGTCAGTAATTATGTCAGGGCTGACTTCAAAAGCTAAACTAATACACATAGGCGAGGGAGCAACCTTGTCAGAAAAGCGTTGAAGTATCGTTATATTTATTTCAGACTTAAAGGAGAGGTTCAAAAATTCAATTAAAGTTCTTTTTATCAATCAAAAAGGTAGCAGCTCATGGAATAGGTATCATGGAATGTCTTTTTCTTTTCCACATCAATTTGGTATCTAATGCAAATTTTCAAAAGTACCCACAATACAAAAACTGCTTCTGTAGTAGGGGAATATTTGACCAGAGAAGTTTCTTATACTAAAATTCAGGGCCGCTTAGAGCCATGCCGGGCCCAGGTGCAGGCAGAATGCTTGGGCTCCATCCTACCTAAAAAAATAATCTTTAAATGTGCTTAGTATGGATTGAAAATTTGCAAAATTTCTTTACTTACTTTCCACTTAAATTCGTAAAGCATTGTAAGACTTTTCAAATGCTATTACCATTGTTGTTTACAGTCATATTTCAAATAGAGACATTTAAATTACCAGCGGGCCCCTGTTTGCTTACGAGCCCATGGGTAATTGCCCCCTTGTTCCCCCTTCTCGGTGGGCCTGCTAATATTCAAACTTACACTTAATAACTGCCCTTCACAGGTTTCACTAGACTAAAATGAATACGAATGTAAGGTTTTCACCTACCCTCGAATGTGAGGTTTGCACGTGTTCCATTCCATGTGACTTCATATCCAGGCCAGTAGCCAACACCACTTAAAAAACCTTGCTTCTGATTTGTAATCCACAATGGTTCTGCTTTGTTCCACCACCGCTCGTCTTTTACTCCTGGTTCAAAAATGGTTCCATTGGTTGGATCAAACATCCTATTATCAATAATCCCATGATTTTCCGGGTAAAGTCCAGTAACTATGCTTTGATGGTTTGGATACGTATTTGTTGGAAAAACGTTCTTCACATAGTCGACTGTAACTCCATTTTCTATCATTGTATGCAAATTGGTCATATTATAACCTTCATAATTTTTATAGTCCCAACGAAAACCATCGACTGATATTAATATTACTCGTTGCCTTGTCTCATTCCGAGCTGCCAAGCAAATGGCACTGGTGCAAAGCAATGTCCATGTTATGGTGACTTGTAACGATGTTCGCTGTTTGCTCTAGAAATTTTAGTTGAAATACATTAACTGTAAAGAATCAGCTTAAGAAAACTGGTATTAGGAAGTTGATCTTTCACAGTCCAAATTTTTCTTTATTTTAACTACTTGCTTTGAACATATGATTTGTATGATGTTATCCCAAACTATCAGCATATCCACACATTGTTTCGTTGTTTTCGAGGATGATATAATGTGTTCGCATATAAGCTGGAGAAACATTTGACATAAGCTTGGAATGTGCTCGATAAAAAGCCACTCGCATTAGCACAAGTTTCTCACGTATAGATAACAAGTTGCTTTTACAAACTTTGCAATTCGATGCAAATTTGTAAGGTACTTAGTTGTTTTTTCTCTGACATCCAAGTTTCTGATTTCATTTAAAATATCTAGTAATTTCTATAAAAACAGACAGGTCCTAAGAAAAAAGTTATAACTAGGAAATTAATACTATCGTCAATTGAATGTTGTCATTGTTAATTTTGCTATAACATCTACAGAAATTTGAAAGATCATGCAGGTAGAATGCGTCTTATACCTTTGAAGAGCTGCAAAATTCTTTTAAGCCCATTATTTGTATTTGTGTTAACGGTTAATGGCACTAGAATATTTAGATTATAAATGCAAAAGACTTACAGAAATCTTTCCCGCTTCCATACCTGCTAAAGCATCCAACAGTTGTTTGGGTGAGTAGCCAGTAATTTGACGATTCTTTTGATCAATCAACCATGAATGTGGATACCCACGGCCACCTAAGAGACTTGGAAAAGTACAAAAGATTGGCAAGATTTAGAGCAAGGTTTAGCATCAGCATCGAAATTCTTCAGTTTATTTTCCATAGAGCCCTAGCGATTTTTCCAGTATTTCAACAAATAAATCAATTTTCGAAACTCCACAAACGAAGGACTTTCGGATCTAGGGGCTTGTAGACATAGTTTGGTATCTTTGAAGAAAGAAGTCAGCTTGATTTTGGTGCAAAGTATTCAGCAGTTGTTTGCATAAAATAATGTCTTGATTTTGAAGAAGGGGGGATTCAGGGGTAGCTTTGTGTTTGAGTTTGAACTATCAAAGCCAAGCTGTCTCCGTTCCAGGGGACTGCGCACGTGTCGAGGCCGCCATGAAGTTGCGCACTTTTTGTTTTCTGTGCCCAGTGCGCGCATTATGAAATAAACAAAATGCAACGAGGCATTGGCCTAATGGCGGACTTGAAGTAGAATGGTACATAATCTAGCATAGCGTAGCGAACCAATGAATTGCCATAATGTGGAACGATTTATCAATGGCATTGGCCTTCTAAGAACGTGAACAGTAAAAGCAATGCAGCAACTAACTGTCAATTCTTTGATTAATTTCCTACGCACGTCAGCGTTAGTGATATTTTATTACACGTTCTCGATATCGCTCACGTTTTACAACAAATGGATGATGAAGGTAAGGACTAGGATTTCTACCAACTTTCATTGAGTGTGTTTAATTCAACATTCGAAATTAAAGATAAACACGCATTTTTTTTTAAGAAACACATATATCAGCCCGGGGTGTTTTCTGGTCATCGTGTGATGTGAACCATTTCAGAATCAAAATGTCTGGTCAAATGTCTTTGGGAGATACTTGGTTTCCACTTAAAATTCAAAAAAAACTAATGCAAACCTGTCACCTACATTTTTATAAAATATATGAATATTAGCTGTTCCAGTTCAGTTGACCATTTCTTCTAATATAGTTACTTTTGAAAAAGAAGAAAACGATTCTTGCCATTTTTAGATGTTTTGGTTGAAAAGTCTACCACTGGATTTCTCACCAGTGTATATCACAAGCCAACTTTTACATACGGTGGAATTCATTTTCCCAAAACAACGCAAGGTCAACCTTGTCAAAACTTTAGTACATAGGACACTAATGATCTGCTCAAAAACTAAACTTAACGTTGAACTAGAAAAACTAAAATTGATCTTTCTAAACAACAGCTGTCCAGAAGATGTCATTTTGTCTTATGCTTAGGATAGGATCACTTGTTTTTGGCTTTTCAGAAGTTTGGTCCACAACAGTGCTGTGGTTTTTCTTAAACTACCATGACACTTCCTTGCAATTCGGCAGTCAGATTAAATATTTCTCTCAAAATATTTCTTTGCTGTCAATCCTAGGAGAGCCCTTCCATCCATTCAAAAGGATTGCATTCCTACCACCCAAAAGAGAGTTCTGCTGTTTATGAATCTAGTACCAGTGTGATTCTGGCTACCCAAAGATTGGGGGATATGATAAAACAACATGTTCCTTCAAACATAAGAAACAAAACTGCCCCTTAAAGAGAACAGCCTCCTTGATCTTGTAGGTCTAGAAACACTGTTAAAACAAGTGATTCTGCCATCAGTCAACATCTTTTAGAGAACTCATATTGTGCAAAACTCTAGAATGATAACATTTTTCAGTTATTTGAGAGCCTGGTCATCTTTCCTTCTAGCAGTTTTCGAATCAATCTACATACGAAGGAAAAAGCTGCCATTGTGTAGACAGAAGAAATTTGTTTTCTCTCTTTGACTCCAGTGGTAGGGGTGTACCGGATCAGGATTTTCAGAATCCGGCCGGAACTGGATTTACCGGATTTCTTCGTGGAATATCCGGCCGGATTTTACCGGATAATCTGGCCATTTATGGATGTTTCAGTGATAAAAAGTTTTGAACCATTTTGCGAAAAAATGTATAGCGAGAAGATCAAAGAGACCAATTCAAGGTTGCCAAATTGAATTTACAAACGAAGGCTAAACTGGTGAGTAATTTAAGCCAAAATGCTCACAAAAAGGCCAAATCAATAACTTTCTCAAGATTCCATCGTGCAGGCACTGGCTATATTTCTACGCTTGTGACTGTTAGATAATTTTTTAACTTAGATAAGAATCTTACTTTTTTCTAAAACCCTTTGCTAATATCAAGATAATATTTAGGTTAGGTGATGAAATTTGAAATTTGGTTAACACTTTGTAGTTAACTACTATTTCCATGAATGTAGTAATTACTCATTAATTTTAGACGTTCTGCTGAAAAGGCCAACAAGGTCAAATTTAAGAAGTAAGAAAAAAACAATTTTTCCAGGCAATCTAAATCTAAAAACCAAAAATGAAAAATTTGGCCGAAAAAGCCAATCTGGCAACCCTGGACCAAATTTGTGAATTATATCATCCAGTCTTCCTGTTTCGTGATGATGAGCACTTTCATTTCAAATCTATTTTCAAGGCGCTTGTTTTATCGTCGATCTTGTTTAGTTTTGGAAAATCCATTTTTAATCACTGTATGAAGAGAGTCTGACTTGGTTTTCCAAATTTTCTTAGTTATGATTAAAATTCTGGAAAATCCGGCAACTGGCTGGATTTCGGAAACAAATCCGGCCGGAACCGGATTTTCAAAAAATCAGCGATCCGGCGCCGGATTATCCGGCCTACCGGATATCCGGTACATCCCTATCCAGTGGTAATTTTTCTTTAGGCACGTAGCATTGATTGGATAATTATACTGGTCTTGTGCTTGCGTTTTTCTGATTGGTCTGCTTCAATCCACAAGTGGATATATATTTTTCATCATTCAGACCATTATTCTAACCTGTTATGTTCTGAGGAGTGTCAGACAAAAAAGCTTTTAACCAATTTGTTATAAAATGTTTTTCTCAAAGCCATTTTCTGTACTGCCAAAATAGTAGTTTTTTTCCATCCAAACTGAGCCTTTTTTGAAAATGCATGTTTCTTGAATCAAAAATGACTTATCCAACTCAGGATTGCAAAAAAGCATATAGAATATAAAGCCAAAATTTATAGTGATAAATGTTGCAGTATTTTCATAAAATTTTCCATACTGAAAGGAAACTACAATATTTAAGAACTGAAAAAGGGTGTAAAAGACCAGAAATCACAAGTTATTAAAAGCTATTGCTGATGAAAAGAATAACAAATTGTTTAGGTTGATCATGATATTTCAGTGAATTTTAAAGTTCTTTTAAAGTGAATTCAAGATCCATTTCTTTCTTGGTTCCAGTAAAATGTTTGCCATACAACTTTTCAAATATTTGTGACAACATAAGAAGGTATTGGTTTGTGGTACTTACTGCAAAGAAGGTTTTTTGGGGCCGAGTTCTTTGAATTAAAAAAAATAATTGTCAATGAAGAATGTCTTTTTGAAGTCTGTGTTTTTAAGAATAAAGTTTTGCACTTACTTACCTCTGCTTGTTTGTGTATTTATTAACTGTTCTGAGAAATTTTTTTAAAATTTTGCTATGGATAAGAGGGAGACATACATAAGGAGTTGACAGGAACCTGGTGAATAATACCTTAACTTTGTGATAAGGATTTAAAAGGATAACATGTTACATTTTGAAATGGATTTGTGTATTTGTTACTTTCCTTAACAGAAAAAATCAGTTTGCTTTATAAAATGTCTACAAACTGGAGATGTCTGCAGGAGGCCTTGAGCATTATCTCATACTATATAATCTTGTGTGAAAATTTTAACAACTTCAATAAATGTCAATCTTTAGCTATCCATTTTTTTATCTTAGTCCTTCAAGTTTCCACTGTTTATATCTGTTGTGCATTACCTTGTGGTTTTCATCTTGGCATCACTTTTCCGGTATGCATCAATAGTACTTTGGAAGAAGAAAAGGACTGTTATTGGCTGGCATGACTACATTAGGAAAATTTTCCCTCCAGGTTTGAATTTTTGATCTTTTGGTTAGTTTTTATTTTTCCTTCAGGTGATGGAGATGATAATAATAATAATATCTTCTTTACAGTTGGTTTGAACAACAGTTGATATGCATAGATAATTATGTAAAACTAATTTATACCAACTATTTATAAACAAAAAGGAAAAAAGTACAATTTTAATCCAGAATGAAACTTTGAACCTTACAAAAAACTTTATTGAATTCATAGCCCTTTTACAGATGCAAATAATTATCAGAGAGGTAAATAGACTTACTTTGCTTAACTGAAACCCAAAGGATCCAAATTGTTGGTTATTTGACTGTATTAATAAAACATGCAAAATTTTTATCAATTTTGCTTTAATTAGGATTATTGTATTATACTGATCTAATTAAAGTTCAACTTCATGATAGATGTTAGCTGTAGGTAAAGGATGCAAAAAGTGGTACTCTGTTTTTTGTCTACAGTTATTCTTTATCTTTTATAGCCATAGCAAGCTCCCTAGACATTGGCTTGTCAAACTGGAGTTTTATGTTCATCACTGTTTCATTGTGAGTATTCTAAATTTACATTGCAGTTCCCAATTACATTTTCCAGATTAGTCTTGTTGTACTTACTGTCAGTTTTTCTTAATGCTATAGCACGAGCACTAGGATTGTTTTCAGTCAAGAAAAAGGTAGCAAAGAATCAACTAGCCTTCATGAACTAGTCATACTGTGATAGTCATTTGATGATTCAACAAAAGCATGTCACCAATGATGTGAGTCACTGATTGATGCATGAGTCAAAAATTTGATTATTGTTTTTTAGCCTTCCTAGAGTACTTTTTCACTAATAATATATTGAAAGGTTTATTTTTTACAAGTCAAATAGCATTAGTTTATTCTCTAATTAGAGCTTGACATAGTTGCTGAAATTGTTTTTTTTGCTTACATAGCTTAGTTGTGCTGCGAAAAAGTCTTGCAGCAGAACTCAATAAATTTATAAATAATCTTCATTTTTTGTCTATATATTGAGTTTTATGTTTCATTTTTTTTCTCATTTGCATTTCATTGATATTTTTATAGGTTAAACAATTTGAACAACCAAATGTAACTACAAAATTGAGCTACAAAGATTTTTGTCATAAGGTCAAAGTAGGCCACATGTAGTTTTGGTTTTCTAGAGGCTTCCTAGATGGCTAGAAATGAAAGATAATTTATTATTTGAAAATAGATGCAAATGTTTTCTACCAGATCTTTGTAATTTATCAAAGAATCTTGGCTATAACTTATTGAATTTGACTTTACAATATTCTTTTAGTTAGTTGTAAAATATATTTAATTTTTAGAGCTGAAGAGCCACAACTATTGCGGAGATGCCCATTTATGTCATATAATAGAATAAAAAAATGATTCTTCGTATTATTTAGTTTTCCAACCCTCAACATTCAAACATTGATTTTACTTATGTTTGTTTCAAGGTACACAATGTCAAAATCTTCATCTATCATTTTTATCCTGTTTTTCTCATTGCTTTTCAAGCTGGAAAAAATGGTATTTAAATTATATTTATATTTTAGTAGTAGGATATGAAAATAGCATAGTTTCATGTACTGTCTATCCTTTTAAATCCATTCCATCTGTTGGTTGACTTTTATTATGTTGATGTTTGTCAAACTTTTAATTTTAAGTTGTATTCTAAAATTGTTATGGCAAATTTATATTGTACACAATGTTTTTGCATCTGTTGTTTATGTTGTATTTCATATTTTGCATCTCCTTCCCCCAGTTATTTGTTGAGCATCTCTGCTATAATAGAACATGTGCACCAACTTTGAATAGATGGAGAGGATAGATGTTGGACTATAAATGCATGATACCTAGCGCCGAGCATGTGTAAGGAGCATAGAAGAAATAAAATCCACTCCATGAGCTGTATTGACCTCTGTTTCTAAAAAATGGGGGACCTTTGCTCCCTGTTCATCCCAGCTCCTATTTCTATTGTTAGAAGTTTGTTTCATAATCTGTGTCCTAGATTTTAGATTAACATTTCTTCAACCTCAGTAGAGAGTATATTTTTAGGGCCATTGCTGTGGAGGAGCGTTGGGGTGTTGTGACACTCCCTTGGAAAACAATTCTGTTGCAAAAGCAAGGAGTTATGGGAACTGAACACTCCCCTTGAGCATGATAGCTAGTGACAGCCCTGTTCAATTATATTATTACATTTATTGTTAAGGCTACTTTGATGTTTATATACATACCTGCTTCCAATGACTTTTGCCTTCTTTTCAAGCGTCCAGCATTGATCATTGTGGTGGGCCTTATTGCTGGTGGACTTCTTATGTTTACTTATGAATCAACACAATTCAATGCATTTGGATTTTTTATTGTAAGTTTTTCAACTTTTCAGTTTTTCTCTCTACCAGAATTGATGTTTCATTATTTTTCCAATTTTAATTATAATTCACATTGACTATCAAAAGAAAATAATTGAAAATGCATAAAAACCAATATATTCCAGATTGCGTTGTCTATTCTGACGTGACAGTGCTCGATGTGCAAAAGCACAGAGCAATATATATAATAAAATAGAATATATACTAGAAATGAGACATGTTCTCCGTTACTCCGAGTTTCGTGCTTACGCACTCACCAGACAGTTTATAGTCTGTCTGATGAGTGCGTAAGCACAAAACTCGGAGTAACGGAGAACATGTCTCATTTCTAGTATATATTCTATTTTATTATAAAAACCAATATATATATTTTTTTGATCTGTGAAGTATTATCTAATAGATTATCAACTTTGTTAACCTTTCATAGTAATGAAAATTTAGTTCACTTCAGTCGTATTTGACTTATGTGGATTGATTTTGCTGCCCAGTAGAAGAGCAAGTTTAATTGATGCAAACAACTCAGCTATTGAAATCTCAAGAACATTTTTTGGAAGATGTTGTTTATATTTTGAAGATAATTGTCTGTCAAATAACCTTAATAGTGAATAATGTTTTCTTATGTCAGTTTATATATTTGTTTGCTTTATCAGGCACTGACAGCTTCTGCAGTAAGTGGCATTAGATGGACAACAGTGCAGCTCTTAATGCAAAAAGAAGCTTTAGGTATGCCTTTACCAGACATATAAGAACAAATGCAGTTTAAGTTTTCTGTGCATTGTTGCCACTTGTCATAGCAATATAACTGTCCTTTGTGGTCCATTGATTTGATTTTGACACTGTGGATGGTAGTATATTCTGTGATTATGACATTTCTAAGGTCCCATAATATATTATTTACTCTACTAATAATATTGCACTATTTTTAGAACAAGAACAACAAGAAAACTGAATATCAGTCAATAGATTCAAAAAAGGTTTTTTAGTGTAGTTAAACTGTACACCTGCTGTTATTTTGTCCACTGTGGTTTCTTTGATAAAGTTTGAAGTGAAAGAGGGATCGTTTCAAACTTTTAATGAAGCTCTTGAATAACCAATTGTTGCTGAAAATATAATCTAAGATCAATATTATTTCAAGGTTCCTATAATCTTACATATTCAATGAGTCTCCTGAGCATTTTAAAGATAAAAAGCCAAGGTTGAGATTTTTCAAAATCCTGTTAAATCTTGCAATAAAAATGCTCCTACTAATCCCTGTTTGCTTTTATATGACGACATATACTATCAAGCAATAATGAATAGAGCTGACTATCATTTTAAAACTACTGTAGACTAAGAGCATTTCAAGGCCTAGTTTATGCAAGCTAAATCAGTATTTTTGCTCACGACAAATAACTGTTTAAATCGCATTCTTTCAATTCAAATGAAGTTTAAAAGTAGACCTAAGAGCTACTGTAGACTACTGTAGACTAAGAGCATTTCAAGACCTGGTTTATGCAAGCTAAATCAGTATTTTTGCTCACGACAAATAACTGTTTAAATCGCATTCTTTCAATTCAAATGAAGTTTAAGAGTAGAACTTCCGATGAAAAGTAATCAAGGTTGTAAAAAAGGAGCATTTCTGTTTGATAGCTACTTGCAGTGCCAAATATTGGCTTATATTTAAGCATGGCTAACAGATATTTTCGAATAAACCCTAAAAGAAGATTTGATTGACTCATTTACTTTTCACCAATGTTTAACATAGCAGTTTAGAATGTTTCGCTCATTGAGTTTAAGTAACCTCGTCATAAATCTTTTTTTGCTTTTTTTCTTAACATAATTGCTCTTGATCGAGGCGTACTGCATATCGCTGGTCTATGTTTTCTTTTGTAGGCCTACACAGTCCCATTGACACAATTTTCCATCTACAACCAGTAATGGCACTAAGCCTTCTTCCTTTGTTCTTTGTTATAGAAGGTGAGCAACTACTATACTATATCTAAATAACTTCTATCTTTAGCATTGCTTGAACCTGTTATCGCTGATTTCGCTGTATTTTCACGTAGTTTTGGCCCTTGACTAAACCGGTATTCGAAATCTCTGCGATGCAATTTCATGTAATTAGTATCAGGTTCATAATTAGTACTACAGAGCAAAAATCACGATTTAGCGTATATATATACACCTTTTGAACTGTTTACTTTTTAAACTGTAATGTTGCTATTGCGTTTTTTATACTGTCTCTAAAATTTGTGATAGCTTTTTGAATTGCTTTTGAGCGAAGGGTTTTCGCGTTTCAGGTGAAGGCTTAGGCTTTGTATTTTTCTGAGATAACACTTGTGTACTACCCCCTTTGTCACATTCACCGTATAATGATAGCATGTCCTTTCAAGTCGTTTTCTTGGAAGCTAGAAACAAGCTGCTACTATCATATTTTCATTAATTCATTTAAAACATGGTTGTGTTTGCAAAGGGACATGGGCTGCTGAACAAATCAGCAGTACATTTTCTTTATGTTTCTCTCTGATTTGCGTTAAATCTCCATCGTATTTATCAGGTCCAAGCATCGCAGTTTCAAAGCAACTATGGCGGGCGCCATCATGGCATATTGCTGGAATATCATTATTAAAAGTGTTTCTAGGCGCTTGCCTTGCATTTATGCTGAGTGTCTCAGAGTATCTATTGGTGTCAAATACATCTGGCCTTGCTCTTGCTATTGCTGGGATCTTTAAGGTGCCAACTATTAATGTTTATTGAGTTTACTATACACATTTTATAATTTGTTGATCGTATTAATAATAATAATGGTATGCTTTTAATTATACTATGAAAACACGTGATTCCTATGATTCAACAAGGTCGATGTTCCAGCTTTCGTCCATAATATTTTTCGGAGGACTGGGTTTCCTGTGAATTTACATAATCGGTAAATTTAGGTCTTGATAACTTCATTGGTTATTTGATATTTGCATTATGATAGTCATACTAACTTCAGGTCTTCCTGGTCATTACTTTATATTTATATCCAGTGTTAATGCGTTTACTTGTCTTTCCTTCCCTGTGGTTTTATCTTTCAAGTATTCAAGTTTTCACCCTAAAATCATCATGTTTTTTCTTTTGATACTGATAAAAAATCTTATATTTAAACTCCACCAAAGCCATATAGATAAACTCTTTTTCATTGAAGGAAATTTGTACTTTGACGATTGCAACCGAATTTGGAGGCGATCAGCTAAATGTATTGAATTTCATTGGATTAGTTATCTGTATGTCGGGTATTGGTGTACATGTTTATTTCAAAGCTCTTAAAGGTAGGTTGTCCTTTTTATATTCTTTCATTATCCATTTTCAGTTGTGGTTGAAAGGGTCTGGACCGTAACATTTTATAAATATTGTTGGTACTGGTCTCCTATGATTTGTTGTTTATGTTTCCATGAACTTCATTAGCAAAATTTTAACATAACATTTCAACATAAAATCTCATCTCTGGTCCAAAAGATGTTTCGAAAAAACCAAAACCTCTTCCTCTGCACAATCTTCTCGGTAAATTCACCGGTAAAGTCTCCTCGGTAAATTCACCAATTCAGTCCAAGAACTTTGCCAAATTTCTCCTTTTTAGGGCTTTTAACTTCAAAACCCGTGACCTTCTGCTCCTCCTTATACCCTGCCTTGATTCAGACTAAAATAAACAAACGCCTTCTCTTTCCTTGCCTCTTTTCCCGTGTTAGGGCTTTGCTGTAGGGCTCTGGGCCTCTCCCTAACATTAAAGGCATTTGACATGCATAAGTACAGCGAATCCAAAAATAACTTAAGCCAAATTGGCCACAGCACGCGCACAAGAATGCTGTTCTTTATTTCTTACCCTTTGTTTTAGTCTCGATATGTATTGATCTAAAATGTATACATTCTCTTTGAAAATAAACCTTGAAAATATCAAATAAAGCATCACATCAACATATTTCCCTTGCTTAATATTTGTCACTCTTCTCTGTCCTTATTATTCCGCTGTATGCAGCTTATCATAAACTATTTTCATATCGAAACAACTTTATTTTTTATGCCATTTTTTCTTTGTACGCTCTTATTATCTACATCCTGTTTGAAAATAATCTTTGAAAACATCAAATACAGCATCACAGCAAATCATTTCACTTTCTTAGTATTTGGCACTCAACACTCTCTCTCTTTATGACTTCCGCTGTATAGAGCTTATCATACTATTTTTACCTGTCAAATCAACGTTATTGTTAATGCTATTTTAAATGCCTATTTTTTAAGGCTTAGCTTATTTTCAAAGCTAGTTACACCTTCTAATTCTAGCGTGCTTAATGGGTATAAAAGATTATAAAGTTTATTCTTGTATGTCCTAGATGCGCTTCACATTTTGTTTACAGATAAATTTACTGTGAGCGTCTACATGAAAAGTTGATACCTCTAATTCAAAGTTATTTCAGCCTACCTTTTGCTTAAATGATCAGATTTGTTTCAAAAGTTAACAAGATTTGCACTTATTACCCATGTATTTGAACTCTTCGGTATGAGGTAGACCACATAAGATTGTATCTCATTTGATTTATACTGATCTTAATGTTGCGGTCCTTCTAAGAACATTGACCTGGTAGCTCATGTCAAATTTTAGGCTTTTGCAAATCTAAGCCAGCTAAAAAAGGAATATTGAATGTCGAGACACAGCAGTAAGGGTTATTCCGATTTTAATGTTCTAATGAATTAAGGAGTTCATATAGTTAGCCCTGTTGTGAATCATAGGTCCAATTTGTTTTATAATCAGATATCCGTCTGTAGAAATGACTTAACATATTTAGCTAGAATACCTAATATAAGTAGTCTAACCAAGCCGAATATACCCAGAGATGACGCTTGGCTGACAAATAGGATTTCATAGGTTTATTAGTGTGCACATATTGTATCACGTTTTTTCTGGTTGGTGACCGAATGCCCCGTTCTAAATTGTTTAAAGATTTTATCAAGGTCGAAGCGTGTCAAATTGATGATCTTATAGTTGCTATCAGCAAGAATTAAGAAAAAGCAGCTATCACTTTATGATGTTCTTCTTCTTTTTTCTTTTCTCTTTCAAATTATTTTTCTCTCCCTTTCTTCTTTCTTTCTCGCTTTGTCTCCACTTTCTCACTTTCTTCTTTCCTTTTT